TTGCCGAAAATAATTCCCCTTTTCTTTGAAGGGGATTGCCTTTGACTGGTATTGCTCCATCAAAAGGGTGGTGGTGCGCCCTTGAAATAAATTGTTAAGTTTTAAACAATTGAAATTGCATGATATCATTGAACATGATGGTTTTCAAAAGATGAAAATGTGATTTATGTTCAAAAAGGGCATAGCATGACATGTGCATTTCATCTCTTGAGACTTGTATAAAATGTATATACTTTGTTAAGAATTTCCTACTAGGCTTTATGCTCACCCTACGGGATTTTTGTGCAGGAAAAGATGTGGTGATCCCACCTAATTAGAGGCGTGGAAGTATGTGTGTTGGGAGTACAATGCTCTCATTTTGCTGTGACTCTGTGTGTAAGACAAGGGTTGTGTTTGTGTGGGTTTGAGTAACCGTTTTGTGTAACCCAGCTCAAGCCTTGGAAACTTGTAAACCCTTAGGGGTATTTATTTGTTTATTTACTTGTTGTTGGATTAATATATTGTTACATGAAGAACTATTGTATCATGTAATGTAAGATTAGAGATTTATATTCAGTTTTCCTTGAAAGAGCCATGATTGTTGTCTTATCATTTGGGCTAGAAATTTGGGGCGTTACAGGGGATGGCGTGGTTGGGCTGGGTTGGGCTATGGAAGGGCAAGAAACTACTAATAAAGAAGGTACTGGCCTGTGTTGCTAGTCGAAACTATGTTGCAAGTTGAAGTGTGGGTGGGATAAGACTAGGGTTAGGGTTTGTGAGGATTGAGATGGGGACAAAATTGAAATTTGATGTTAGGACAAAATTGCGTAAAAAAAAAAAAAAAAAAATAGATGGAAGACCGAAAGTAAAAGGGAAATTCTACTTATTTCCTTTTGAATTACCCCCGTGTTATATTACCTAACAAACTATATTTGTTCACCCATTTGTTGCTGCACGTTTATAAATTCACTTTTCTTAAAATATCATTTTTTTTTTCTAAATTTATGATGGGCATGCTTGGTTCTACATTGCCAAACAATTTGGATTATTCTGGTATCATATTGTCGAACAAATTAGATTTGTCCAGCTATCTGTTGCCGCACTTTTACAGATTCACTTTCCTTAAAACATCAAATATCCATAAAAACATGAAGTGTACAAACATTCATAAAAACATTCGTAAAATTTGTCAATATATACATCCATAAAAATACATTGAGATTGTTATCAAATCCATCTATATTGATAGTTTCAGTAGTTACTACGTTTTCGTTTGGAATGTGGGTTGGCTTTTTGGTTTTTTGGTTTTTAGGCTATTTTAGTAGGTGTTTGGCATGCACTAAAAAAATGTACTTTTTTGGCCTGGGGCTAAAAAACCTCGTTTGGGATGGGCTTTTTTGCTTTTTTGACTTTTGTGGGAGAAAAAAATGAAGGGATTATGGTTTGGATGTGACATTTTGTATTGTTGGGCTAAAAAACCTATTTTATCTTTTTGTGGCTAAAATAGCTCTAACCCAACCCAAACCTTCATGCCAAGCGAACCTATATACATTAGGACTAGGTAGTATATGCTTTCTTCAATCCATTAGCACACGAGTGATGAAAACGAATTTAATTACTTGCTTTCGGAGGTACTGGATGATCAGGAAACAAATAAATCTAACAAACCATTACCAATGCACTATTAGCCTTACTACAATGAATAGAAAGATAATCCTTCAAATAAAGAAATAAAAATAAAAATGCCAGAAAAATAAAACTGAAAATGTTTAGTAGTGAGTTACCGAACATGTACATTTTATTCGACAGTAATTTACTGAATAAGTAATTTTTTGTTTGGTAGGGAATTGTAGGATATGTATTTTTTGTTTGGCAATGTGATTCTGGGCTATTTGATTTTATTCGATTACGGAACACTGAACAAAAGTCGATCAGTCCTTTTCAAAAACGAAACGAAAGAAAAAAAAAAAAAAAAATCTCACCATTTCATTTTTTTACTGGTCCTTTGTCACCATTTCTTTGTTAATTATTGTCTTTTTTTTTTTATAATCAAAATACTATGATTTTTATTTTTTGAAAGTAGATATATAGAAGAGAAGAAGAAATGAGAAATGAAGAAAAAAAAGTAGGGATTGAAGTGTAATAAGTATAAAGAGATAATCAAATCTATTTAATTTTTTATTTTTTGTTCTTAAAGATAATTTCACAAATGAGTAAAATTGGAAAAAATATAGTAGCGTTTGGTAGAGTTTTCTAAATATGATTTGAGAATAGAGTTGTATTTTGAGTTTGTGAGTTTTGAAATTATGATTTGAGTGTAGAAAATTTGTTTGGTTATGAGTTTTGAAAAGAGTTTTGAATTAAGTTTTGAATGCTTGATGTGACATGTGAAATAAGAAAATTTGTTTGGTTATGAGTTTTGGAAAGAGTTTTCAAAATTTAATTCAAATTATTATAACTTATAACCAAACACACTACTCAAAATTTTATTGAAAATTCTGTTAACATTCATAATCAAACTCTTTTTAAAATTCAATTAAAAAAATTAATTATTAACAAAAAATAACATTAATCAATTTTTTTAATTGAAAATATTACAAAGAAAATAATTTTTTCTTCAAAATAAATATTCAATTACTGATTTAAAATAACTTTTATTGTATATTTGGTTCGAATTATTTTTTAAAAAGTATTTTTGATTGAAAATAAAAATATATATTATTTTTTGTTAAAAAAAAATAAAATACATATTTCCATTTTTTTTCCAAATAACAAGTGCCATTTGCCAAAAAAAAATAAAAAATGTCTTAGTCAACCTGTGAGACGATCAGCCAGACATCCGGATAGACCAAAATCGCTCTTGTCAAAATTTAAAAACTCACTGTGCTGCCAAATAGGTTTTCAAATGAGTTTTGAAATGTGACTTAGAATCAATTTTGAAAAGCTTAAATCAAATAATGTGTTGAAAATAACTCTGGAATTAAGATTCCAGAACTATACCAAACACAATCTATATATCTCAAATGAAGAGTGTAAATATATAAATATGTTGTATAAGTAGAATTTTTGAAAGTAAAAAGGTAAGGATTAATAGTAGTTACTAAAAATAAGCAAATCTCAAACCACCCAAACCACCCTAATACTGTGTTTAGTTAGGAGATTAGGAAAGCGTTTTGAAAAGGAAAAGAAAAAAAAAATATGTAAAATTATATGAAATGTAAGTATATTTTAGTAACTTTTTGGCTTTTGGAAACATGCTATTTTAGTAACTTTTTGATTTTTTGACTAAAATATAAGATAAAAAAAACTAGTTTTTGGAATGACTTTTTAATTCTTTTACGTAAAGATATACTCCACAAAAAATAGAGAGAAAAGAAATTTTTTGACTTTTTAATATAAATTATAGATTTTTTGATTTTTTAAATAACTTTTTAACTTTTGAGCTAAAATTATAACATGCCAAACAAGGCATAAATGTTGGTGTTGAATGACCAAGTTAGAGCATCCTAATAGAACCCTTATATCCCTTCCTTACCTATTTTAGGCCCTGTTTGTTTGGAGAGTTAGATAGGGGGATTGAGATTGGTAGTGAGGTGGACCCACTAACATTGTATTTGTTTTGAGAGATGGGGAGGAGATTGATAGTGAACTCTAGATTATAAATCCCTTTGGGAAGGGGATTCGGATGAGTCTCCAAGACTTAATATTAGAAAAATAGTCCGTCGGACTAGAAATTATTTTTTATTTTATTTTATTTTTTACATGTTGGGTATTTTTTTTGAACATTAATGTTTAATTTTTTGTATTTTTTGTTAAGTAAAAATCATTATTTTATTTGTTTTATTTTTTCTAGAATTTTTTTTGAATTTTTTTTTACATGTTGGGCATTTTTTTAAAACATTAATTTATTTGTTTTATTATTTTATATAAAAATAATTTAACAATCTCTACACTAACAACTATTATCAAAACAAACACAATTTTACTTAATTCTCTTACTATCAATCTCCTCACTAACAATCCATTCACTATTAATCCCCTCCATTCTACCTTTGAAAACAAACAAGGCCTTAAGAGGTTTGATGGCCCCTATACACTTCTAGAAGCTCCATTAAACACTCTTCTAAAATAAGAATTGCTATAGTGCCTTCCTATTTGTAGGGAGTCACTGTAGCACCCTTATATATATATATATATATATATATATTTTTTTGCTCTGTTTTGTTTGGGAACTGTAGAACACATTTATGATTTTTATTTTTTTAAAATTTATAATGAAAAATTATATTTGAATAGAATAGAAAAAAAATATAGAGTTTATTAATAGAATTGAGAAAGAATAGGGAGTCTGTTGGAGAACAGATCCAGAATCACGATCGGCTTCGAGTACGCCCAATCGCTCTGCCTCGCTTCGATCTGCTCCGCCGCCGCCTCTCTTACCCTCAACTCTGGCTCGCGCATCATTCTCCGACTACCGCGGAGGCTCGGCGGGCGGCGCACGAACCGGCGGCTCAGGAAGATCTGATCGGTCAGCAACGGCGTCGCATCGATTAGCTATTGTGTGTGTGTGTGTCTGCCCCTCGCAATGTATGTGTGTATCTGTGTGTGTGTATCTATATGTGTGTGTATCTGTGTGTGTGTGTCTGTCTGTGTGTATCTGTGTGTGTGTCTGTCTGTGTGTATCTGTGTGTGCGTGTCTGTCTGGGTGTGTGTATATGTCTGTGTGTGTGTATATGTGTGCGTGTATCTGTGTGTGTGTCTGTCTGCCTCTCACAATGTATGTGTGTATCTGTGTGTGATAGGAGAAAGATGGGACTAAACGATTTAATAGAATAAAAATGGGACCAATTGGTTCATAAGTTCAAATTTTGGGATTTATTGATAAATCTCCCTTATTAAAACACCACTTTAATACTCTCAAATATTTTTCTTCCTAAAATAGAGAGTAAATTTTTTAATAATATTTTAAAATAAATATAAGTAATCTGGTAGGATGCTCTTACCTTATGCAGAATATGCGGATCCTCAAATATTCAAAACCAGTATCTTAATTTCGTTTCCCGCCCTAAACTGCTCATCTTTTTGTCCTTCAAATCAAACTCCTTCAAACCAAAACCCTCTCTCTTCTGATCCAAATTCTCCTCCAATCTACAACATCAAAAAATCTTCAACCTTTACACATTCACACACACATCTATACATATACATAAATGTCGACGTCGTCAGCTCGCCGGATCAAAGACTCCGGCGGCGGCGGAGGAGGAGGGAAGGTCACGGCGGCGAAACCCTCCAAAACCCTAACCCCAGTTTTTGGAAAAGGCGGAGAGACTCTCAAGAAATCCACCGGAAAAGAAAACCCTAGACCCATTTCAACGGGTCGAGCTTCGGTGGCCGCGATGTCTCAGAAGCCTGTGATTCGGTCAATTCCACGGATCGAAAAGCCCTCAGCGAGTGCGGCCGGTGAAAGAGATTCAGGGTTTCGATCGTCTTCGTCGTCAGTGCCGAGAGGTAGGAGTTCTAGTCCGTCTGAATTTAATCGGGGTTTTTCAGATTTTCGCAATGGGAGGGTTTCTAGGGTTTCTTCTGGGGGTGAATTTCAGCGATCTGTGTCGAATGGTAGGAAGAGTGTGAGTGGGGTTAGGGTTTCTGAGAGAATTCAGCAAAAGACTGGAACTTTGAAGGATTTGAATACAAAATCAAGTGAAGGAAGTGAGAATAGTAGTAGGGTTTTGAAGGGGTACAAAAGTTCAGTGAATGCTGAGGTGGGTATGGAGAGAAGCAGTGAAAAACTTAAGCAATGTGAATCAAAGTATAAAGCAAGTGCAGAAACTAGGGCTAGGGATAGGGTTTCAGATGAATTTAAAGATGTTAATTTAAACTCAAGTTCATCAAAATCACGCGCAGATAGTCGTGTTTCTAAGTCTAATTTAGATTCCAATGTTAAAGTTAATTATTTTAGGGTTTATGGGCAATCAAAGGGGAGATCTTGTGTTGATCCGAAACCAATTGTAGTTGAGAAGAGTGTGAATTGTATTGATTCGGGTGTGAAAGAATTGGGCCGAAGATCTCTGAGTAGTTCAAGAAGAGGTTCAGAGGGCTTGAAACAGAAGGGTTTACCTGAAGAAGGTATGGGTGGTGGGAGTATCAATAAATATCCAAGCAAGCTTCATGAAAAGATTTCATTTTTGGAAGGGAAGGTTAAGAGGATTGCATCTGACATTAAGAGGACAAAGCAGATGTTGGATATGAATAACCCAGATGTGTCAAAAGTGATAATTTCAGATATTCATGAAAAGATTTCAGGGATTGAGAAGGCAATTGGACATGTTGTTGATGGAGCTGATGGGAAGATGGTTGTACCCAAAGCAACTGGAAATGGTGATCTACTGAGTAGAACTTCGGATAAGAATCAAAACAAGGAAGTGGATCATGTGAAAAGTTCTGTAAAAGGCTTGAATACCGAAGAGCTAGAGGCTAGACTTTTTCCTCATCATAGGTTACTTAGAGACCGAACATCATTGAAAGTGTCATCAGGAAGCAATCAAAATCAGCAGGCTGGTATAGTGGAATCTAGCTGTGAATTGAAACCCAAAGAGAAGGTTTTGAGCCCCATTGATGATAACCCCATTGCATTGGAGTTCTTGGCCTCCCTGGGCAAGGAGCAATCTAAGGTTACAAGAAGGGGTGAAAATGTTAGTTCGGAGATCTCTGAAGTTCAAGAAACAGAAAGTACTGTGACTTCAGGAGCACAAGACTCTTCAAACATGGCCAGTGTAGAAGGGCATGTTGAGATGATTCCCACAACAAATGAAACACTTGATGAGTTTGATGATAAGGAGAATAGACTGGAAATGATTATTGAAGAGGAGACTGAGGATAGTTTCATTTATCAGTTAAATGAAATTGGCTGTAAGACCTCAACCGGAGGATGGTTTGTATCTGAGGGTGAAGCTGTTCTTCTTGCTCACGATGATGGTTCTTGTTCCTTTTATGATATTGCCAACTGTGAGGTACAGAAGCTTGTTTCCTATTACTCTTATATGATTACTAATGTAGTCTTCAGTTTGCTTTTACTTCCCTCAATGTTATTTTGTAGCACATTAAAATAGAACTATATATTAAGTGGGTGTTTGGGAAGTTGCTATTTTAGCAGGCTATTTTAGTTTTTGATTATTTTAATAGGCTAAAATTTTTGTGTCTTGGAAGATGATTGGATTATTTTGTAATTGGATGTGATGTTTGTGAGAGAAAAAGTAAATGAGTATGGGTTTGATGTAACATTTTGTCTTATTAGCTATTTTAACATATTTTGTCTGTTTGTAGATTTTAGCCAAAAAAAAGCTAAAATTTAACTTGCCAAACACCCCCTAAATACTCTTAGATGAAGTCTATGCACAGTATATTCTGCTGCACACTTCATAATTTTAAGAATCTTAGGATTTGATTTAGATTGTTTGTTGAGTTATATGAATTCTTGATTTGATGCTTTACTTTCGATCTTCCATGTACGTCTTTGAATACAAAAAACAAAAAACGAAAAAATGTATGTCTTTGATCTATTTGTTTGCATCATACATGTTTCTATCCTATAAGAATGACAACATATTTGTAATGTCTTCCAAACAGAAGATGATTGGATTTTTTTGTAATTGAATGTGATGTTTGTGAGAAAAAAAGTAAATGATTATAGGTTTGATGTAACATTTTGTCTTATTAGCTATTTTAACATATTTTGTCTGTTTGTAGATTTTAGCCAAAAAAAAAAAGCTAAAATTTAACTTTGCCAAACACCCCCTAAATATTCTCAAATGAAGTCTATGCACAGAATATTCTGCTGCACACGTCATAATTTTAAGAATCTTAGGATTTGATTTAGATTGTTTGTTGAGTTATATGAATTCTTGATTTGATGCTTTACTTTCGATCTTCCATGTACATCTTTGAATACAAAAAACAAAAAAATGTATGTCTTTGATCTATTTGTTTGCATCATACATGTTTCTATCCTATAAGAATGACAACATATTTGTAATGTCTTCCAAAAATAGTTATTTATTTATTTTTAAAAAAAAAATTATTTTACCGATGGTACATCATCATGTCAGGAGAAAGCTGAATACAAGCCCCCTGTTGAAGTCTCACCTAATGTATGGAGAGATTGTTGGATAATTCGCGCCGCTGGTGCAGACGGTTGTTCGGGAAGGTATGTTGTGGCTGCCTCTGCTGGCAATACATTGGATTCTGGATTTTGCTCGTGGGATTTCTACACTAAAGAAGTGCAAGCTTTTCAAATTGAGGATGTGGCTATTAATTCAAGAACTGCACTTGCTCCACTACCCAATAACACCATACATAGAAGAAATACTCTATCTATTGCCCCAGAAAACCGACAATGGTGGTATAAACCCTGTGGACCACTTATCGTCTCAACGGCCAGCTGTCAGAAGGCTGTTAGAATCTATGATATCCGTGATGGAGAGCAGATCATGAAATGGGAGGTGCAAAAGCCTGTACTGGCAATGGATTATTCAAGTCCTTTGCAATGGAGAAACAGAGAAAAAGTGGTTGTAGCAGAGGCAGAAACTATTTCTGTATGGGACGTTAGCTCTCTCAATCCTCAAGCACTACATTCTGTTTCTTCAACTGGCCGAAAAGTGTCAGCGCTTCATGTGAATAACACTGATGCTGAATTGGGTGGAGGAGTAAGGCAAAGGTGAAACTTCTATTTGTTGCTTGTGTTAGATGATCTGTTTTCCTATATTCTTTTTCTTTTTGTTGCTTCACTTGTCTATTTCATTTGTTTTAACGTAGCCCAAGAAGCAATGTCGGGGACAGTGTGCGTCCATGTGCCCAACATGCAATGTGGTGTATCAATTTTTTTAATTATTATTTTTTGTATGACATGTTGGGGACACTTCATGGACACACATGTCCTGTGTTTGGACATTCCCCATGACACTTTGTAGGCTTGTTTTTTTTTGTAATTTTAGAAAGATGATTTGGGGTTAAAAGTAAAATATATGTGGGATTAAAAAGGAAAAGTAAAAATAAAAATATTCCTACATATGCATTGATGCCTTTCATATCTATGTATCTTAAATTTTTATTCATATGTATAGTAACTAAAAATATACATTTTTGTATTCCCGTTGTCTCCATGTCCTAATTTTTTGAGAATTGTTTCATGTCTGTCTCCGTGTCCATGCCTCTTAGAACATAGCTTTGTCAATTTCTTTATTCAGTTAGGAGATTGATAGCTTTTGCATGATCAATGAGGTAGCAGACAATTTTTTTATTTTTATTTAAATTATATAACGTGTCTTATCATTTTACACTTCTTATCATTGCTTTTCTTGCTTTCTTTAATTTTTGTTGTCATAGAAATACCAGAATTCATTGGTAACCTAGTAGTCAATATTTTATTGTTGTAAAAAATGGCAACATATGAGAAAGCTGTCAGTGTCAAAGTCAATGCTCTCTCACCAGTCCTAATCCTTTAAATTCTTGCAATCCAGAGTAAGTTCATCTGATGCAGAAGGAAATGATGGAGTTTTCTGCACCCCAGATTCCATTAATATATTAGATTTCCGCCACCCATCAGGCGTAGGGCTCAAGATATCCAAACTTGGTGTCAACGTGCAATCTATTTTCTCTCGTGGAGATTCTGTTTTTCTTTGGGCGCACTAATGCAGGTCAGCAGGAAAAAGTCAGCTTGCTCTCAGATACAACAGTTTTCACTGCGCAAACAGAGGCTTTTCAGCACTTACTCTCTGCCAGAATCAAATGCTCACTCCTATTACACAGCCTTAACACAAGTTTGGGGAAACTCAAACTTTGTCATGGGAGTTTGTGGACTTGGGCTGTTTGTTTTTGATGCCCTGAAGGATGATGAATTGCAGCCTTTCTCCATTGATTACGGTAACATGCAGAAATTTAAAGAAATTATTGGACCAGATGACTTGTATTCCCCTTCTTTTGATTACTTGGCATCCCGTGTTCTCCTCATATCAAGAGATCGCCCGTCTTTGTGGAGGTACTTGTCATAACTGTGATCTATGCTTGAAGTCGTATTTAACATATTTTGTTGAAAACAGAGAACCATCAGAGCATAGTAAATGCTGCTGTTTATGCGCTGTGCATTCTGCGTCAAACATTAGAATAATTTTGCTATTTATTCTAGTAGAACTCTTTCTTATGTAAAAAAGTAGGGATGTGCATTATGTTTACCATTCTTATATCTTGCTTTTGAGGATGTGAGTAATTGAAGGCAGTTTTGAGTTTACCAGTAATTGATATAAGGACACTAGGTTTTCATTTGAAACCCATTGCAGTTGTGATGAGAACCCATTTGATATTAACACTGGATAGGAGTAAAACATATATAAGTCTGACAGTTTTTCTTGTACGAGTAAGCATAAGAATATGTTATGCAAAGCTGTTATGTGATTGCAAAAGCACCTGTTTGTTCGTTCTTGAAAGAGTTTCTTTGTGTGATTACCTTTGTTTTAGAATTTTAGAACTAAAGATTTGATTGTCTGCTACATTCAAATTTGATGAAGTTAAATTTCAACAGAAGACAATATTTATGGGTCCGACTAGGTGAGTTGTAGGACACACATGCTCAGTCAAAATAAAAAAAATTGCGACTGTTGAAATTTCCTTTGTATAATTTGTTTTTGGGACTGGCGTAGCTCACCTCTTTTCTCATCTTGTGACTGCTGTAATATTACTCTTTTTAAAGGAACCAAGATTCATTTTCCAAGTACTGTGATTAAGGATAAGCAAATTATAGCTCCTAAATGTTGTGTATGAACAATTTTTAATCTGTTTTAATATATTGTTAATCATTGTAGTATTTTATAATTTTCCTGCTAAAATGTTGCTATTGCTATTGCCAAGCCTAATTGCGAAACAAGATTTTTTCAATAACAGTTCCGAATGGAAGAGTAAGTTACATTATTTATTTGTTTATTGAGGAAACATATATAATTTTCAATTGTTGACCATTACAAATTTTCAATTATCTTCTCTCAAGCCTAAACCTCTCTGGTGCTAGATCATATTTCTCAATTTGGGTCATTGAGTGATTGATTTCACTAGAAACCGTGTTCAAGGAAAGATCCTAGATAGATCTTTGAAGAACCTCAAGAGTGTTGAACTTGCTTTTCCATTGGTTTTTGTCAATTTCACTGGCCTTATTGTGCTTGATTTGTCTCACAATTGCTTTGTTGGTCTCTGAGAGATTCCTACTGGTATTTTTGAAACAGGGTCTTATTTTGAAGAAGATTTTTTTTTTTTCAAAAAAATAAAAATAAAAAAATCTCCGGAGGAATGTTTTAAAATAGGACCAAAACTGTGTTCTTTTGCTCACAACAACGCTGTGCACAGCAGCCACTCCGAATCAGGGAAAAAAACTAAAGGCTATTAAAACTGTGTTATTTTGCAAGTTGGAATTTTTTTTTTAAAACTGATTTTACTTTATGTGAAATTGTTAGGTTAATGTATGGACATCATTGTTTGAACAGCTTGTTTTCAATTTGTCTGACAGTTTATTGCATGTTTTTGCAAAAAAAATTGAAGGATTTTTGCATGTCTATCCCATTTGACTTTTGAATTTTTTTTTTTTTCCGAGAAAGAGAGATAGGGAACATTGTTTGGTAATTCATGATATTTGGGAGTTTAGGCCATGCATGAACAATGGGACGTTTACTGAACTGCGTGTAATGTAACCATAATCTTCTTGAAATATAACAAAAATATTATGATTCAATTATTACAAAATGAGACTTAGGCTTGATTTGGGATATTCAAAAAGGGTATGGCTTCTGTCCAGTTCGGGATTGGATTGGACCGTACTGTTGGGTCTGTGGGGGTCCACAATGGGTCCCGTTTTGATAATCTGAACCGTTCAATATGTAGAAATCGTCGAGTACTATATGCCTGTAAAAAATCATGTTGATCGGATATCGATAGCTATGTCATTAAAACAGTTTTTTGTCAACTGTTAATTTGTTTACCGTCCAATTTTTTTAATACGAAACTAATTTGATCATATAGCTATCGATATTCGATCAACGTGATTTTTTACAAGCATATAGTACTCGACGAGTTTTACACATTGAATGATTCAGATTATTAAAACGGGACCCGTGGTGGGCCTCCACGGGCCCAACAGCACGGTCCAGTCTGATCCCGGACTGGACAGAAGCCATACCCATTTAAAAAAATCCAAAAAATTAAAAACTTATTCAAAAAGTTAAAAAAGTTATCACTATTCACTAAAAAAAAATATTAAAAAATTAATTTTCAAACAATTTTGACGTCTCCACAGGTGGAGCTGAATTTTTGAAAAAATTACACGGCTGGGGTGTACAAATAACACGATGCTATTTGGCCTGTGGGTAGGGGTGAGCAGCGGATATATCGATCTGTTAAAACCAATCAAACTGAATTGATCCGCCGCATTTTGGACGGATGCGTGATGACGAGCGGATGGTTGTTGATTGATTTTCTCCAATTCGCCAATCTGGCGGACAGATGGCAGATTTGAGATTTTTTTGACCGCAACTGAACCGCCAAATCGCGAGCACCCCTAGTAATTTATTACACTTTGTGTTTTCAGTTTGTTTAAATATTCTGTTTGTGTTTTCAATTAAAAAAGAGTTTAAATATTCTGTTGAAAAAAAGTTTTCAACTTGAATATCTTTTTTGAATTGAAAAAAATAAATGTATTACTTATCTTTATTTTTTAGTTTTTAAATCTATTTCTAAAAATAATAAATAGAAAATATGATATATGCTGGTTGATTTTTGTTTTTAAAAACAGATATAGATGTAACAATACAAAGACATACAATTTCTACTACTGTTCATTGTAATACTTTATGTGGATGAGGCATGTTGTGATTGTCATATTCTAAAGTTTCAAACTTTCTTGTTTGGATGAGACATGCAGTGATTGTAATATTTTTTTAAGTCATTGACTGTAATACTTTCTTTTTTTTTTTGGAGGAAGTGCACAAGTTGAATTATGTTGAAAATTTATAAAATTTTAAACCGCCAAACCGATTCGCATTCATCCGCCAAATTGCCAATCCGCTCAATCAACATCCGCCAGATTTGCGGACGGATGCAGATTGATTTTCTTCAATTCACCAATCTGGCGGACGGATGGCGGATTGGAGGTTCCATGGCCGCAATTGACCCGCGCCCACCCCTACCTGTGGGGGTTCATCACGGGTCCTGTTTTAATAATTTAAACCGTTCAATGTGTAGAACTTGTCAAATAATCCATGACTGTAAAAAAATCACGTTGATCAGATATCTCTAACTACATGATCAAATCAGTTTTGTATAAAAAATGGATGGTGTTATAATTAACGGTTGAAAAAAAACTAATCCGATCAAATAGTTATCGATATCCGACCAACGTGATTTTTTACAAGCATATAGTGCTCGACAAGTTCTACAGATTGAACAGTTTTGATTAACAAAACGGGACCCGTGGTAGGCCTTCACAGGCCGAACAACACCTTCAATTCAATGTCCGAAAAGCAGGGAATCATCTCTCAGTTTAAACTCTGCACACGCTATTCCTTGATTCATTCCACCGTACAACCTATTCCATCCCAATCTTCTTCTATACACTAATTTATATAATTTTTTAATACACATTTTTTCGTAAAAAGTCAAAAAGTTATCCTAAACTATTATTTTTTTTTTCATCAACTTTTTAGTCCAAAAAATTAAAAAGTACATTTATTTAGGATATCCCAAACAACCCCTTAATTTTTACAACCTTACCAACAATGGCAGCGAATGCCTTTTTCCTTAATCAGAAGTTGACATTTTATATGCAACATTTCAGATAACGATAAATATATGAACAAATTATATTTTATTTTATAAAATGAATGGTTTAAGTTTAAATTTATAATTGTTCATTTTAAAAAAACAAAATATAATTTATCCATAAACCTAATAACATTCACATAAACCTAATAACATTAAACACATCGTTAATGGTTACACGTTACAATCATCTAACCCTTGTCTTGCACCTCTCACCAACCACTTTTGGTTTGCATCTCTCACCAAACTACTTAAGTTTGATTTCAATTGGATTTCTATCTTTGTGGTTTTCATTTACATTTCATTTGTTTAAATGAAAAATATTTTTTGTATTTTTTGGCATGTAATATAATTATAAAATGAAAGTCAATAAAAAAAATATATTTTTCCTCGTCAATGAAAAATAAATTTGTTTGGGCAAAATATTTCAATTTTAAAAAATAAAAAATATTTTTCAAACTAAAATTTATCAATATCATTACACTACTATTACTATTACCGCTACCATCACAGACGCTGCTTTTTCTATGCTCTGAGTACAAACCAAACTATTATTTTTTCTTATTAATAAAAATGTACTTTTTTTAAAAGACTAAACTATCTAACAAGAACTTCTCATAGGCCTTATGTTTTATATGTTTGGGGGATATGAAAGAAACGTGGAGTTACCATTGGTGAAAGAGATGAAATTGACCTGCGTACGTTATATATATATATATTATATATTTTTAAATTAATGATTCATTCGCCAAAATTGTTTAGCTCGAATAAATCTCTTTTTGAGAAGAGATTCGTGCACTAGATACTCTTCTCGAAAAGAGACTCATTCGGACGAAACAAATTTGATAAATATAACGGTGTTAGTTTTTTAATTATTTATTTATGATGCACATTTAATAATAAGTTGTTTAATAAAATATATTAGAGCATAAAATGGATCCACAAAAAGAATAAAGAGAATCTATATGTAAGAAAGATGCAAATCTCCATATATAAAGAGAAAAATAAATATCCAGTTGGGACTACATAGAGGCACTATTGCAAAAATAAAAATCAAAACAATCACCGTTAAATAAACATTACCAATTACTTTCATGATTGATTCATCATCGCAATCAATAGTTGTGGTATCTTAATCCCCCCTATGTTATAAAATAAAATATTCTGAATTTAATGTGGTCACGTAGCATATAAAAATGCATTTAGTAGTGTTAGATCTCGGTCATGAATCAAATATGAGTAGATTTGAAAACTTTCTCGGTGGCAAGTCGATGACGAAGACGAGAGAAATGGTAGTGGTTAGTATGGTGATGAATAATATGTTGGAAAAAATGATTTTATGGTAACTTTAATATAAAATTAAAGTGGGTCCTAACTACTGGTTGAGGTAGGATCAAGTGGGTCTAGATTTTTTTTAATAAGATCTTTACACCATAAAAAGAATGATAAAAAATATTAAGAATTGATTGAGAAATTGTCTCATAAAGTTGGCTTCATGAATGAGGTATTGAGAATAGTGTGTAACTATTTATCCCACATTGATTGTAAAGGAAAGCATTGATGAATATTTAAATTTCAAGTTTTTCATAAGGGTGTGAGCTGT